AATGCACCAAGAGGAGCCTCACAGGGAAGAAGATTCGAGTTTAGTGTGTGTAGGTGAGCTCATTTCAGGTCAGAAAAGGATTTTCATGAAAAAATTGTAATAAAACTTTAATTTTACAAGTCTATTTCCATTTATTTTGAGTTATTGCCTTATTTAACATAGTTACCTAAATTGTCAGGAAACGTGATGTCCTATGTCAAAAGGGAGGTCATTTTCGGATTCAGAGCACCAAAAAACAAAGATTATGTGGAATAACCAAAACAGCTCTTTAAAAAATGTTTTTGCCGACCTGTGTAATTGTCTCCCAAAAAGTATTATCCCAGCTTCTGGCATCCTCCTTTCCCCAAAAAGTTCTCAAAATGATAGTCCAGTGTTATCGCAGCACTAGAATGTTCACAGGTGTAAAGTTCCTTAATCAACAATCCTCTTCAAGTGATCTTCCTACCAATATCTACCAGATAGTAAGACCCCCTCTTGTATATTGGGTCAAACCACACACTCATCAGTCTACCTCAACATATATTTTTTTTTTACAATAAGCTTACATATACAAGGGAAAGATCACACATCTATTCAAAGATTGCCGCACCACAAATTTTGGTTCTGGTGACAACGTCACCTTAGACATGTTTTGTCCCATTGGACTTTATAAAGCTTTGTGTATGAATGAGGTCTTGGGGCACATTCATGTGGTCTCTATGGCCTGTACAGTGTGAATTAGCAGTTTGTTTATGTGGCTGGGGCAACCTGGAACTATGTCAAGGCAGCTTTCGGGAATGCAGCAGATGTACAAATACAGCCACAAGTCCCAATTTTATAGGCTTTCGGATGCAAATGTATGGCCCTGAACACAGACAGTGTGTCAGAGCTATTAACCCACGCCTGAACACCTGTCAGATGAGGACCTGTGACTGTGTTTCGTACAGCCGCTTCATCCCCATAGAGTTACATGTGGCTCCAGCCAAATGAACAAACCATTCATTCATACGGCAAGAGTACAGTTTACTATGCTTCAGTTACGAATGAACACAGGAGCTCATTGTGTTCATTAAGGAAAAGACAGGGCCCCTCGCTCTCCTACCTGACACATATCCTTCTGTGCCCCACAGCAGCTGCAGCCAGCAGGAGATTGGGGGGAGAAGCCAACAGCACTGCCAGGAAAAAGGGGAATTGGATCAGCAGAAACAGTCGGGTTGTGGGGGGAGGGAAAGGGGGAAGAAGCACTGTAGGGGGAGCCAAAGGGGGATTGATTTCAGAGATATGGCAGTACACTCCGCCCTCCTGCTTGTTAGGTGCCCACAACCCCTGCTGAACTGATGGGACCCAAGTCCCATACAGGAGGGCTGGCTGTACTGTCTTTATTGATGGCCCTGGTTAGCACAATGCACCGGTGGGAAGCCAACCTCCAGCCTACCTAATTTACTATACCAGACCTTTACCTGAACATGCAGCCTGGTTGGCCAGGAAAGGGAAGGAGATTAGTATGCACACCTGCTCCTGAATCCCACCAGGCTACATGTCTTCAACATGGTAGGCTACCTTGTCAGAAGAGAACACCCTGGCTAAGCACCTTGTCCCCATCTTGATGTGGAAAATGACCTTTTGCCCATCACCCTGGTCCAGTGTTGTAAAAGTCTGCATATTGGCCTCCCATATTAATGAGTAAGGGCTATATGGTATCTTTACTCATTCATCAAAAAAGTAAACATTAAAAAACACATACACAGTTTTTAATAATTCATGGTGACAGTGGTATAGAGAGAGCGTGTTCTGGCAGTGGTATGGAGACTTCCCATCCCATTCCCAGATCAAAACCCCTTCTAATGTGGAGAGGTGGGCAGTTGACATCATAATCTCTACCTCAGCCAATAAAAAGAGGCCTTGAATTCATTCATAAAAATTAGAAGTCTTCCTGTGAACAAGTCAGGAAGTCCCCATACTACCGCTCTGTATACTGTATATAACTGATGCTACATATAGTTTATACTGCACTGACAGCAGCCGCATTACTTAGTGAAAAAAAAAGTAGTTCATTTGGGCCAACAAACTATATATAAAGTGACAGTAGAATTGAGGCTATCTTAAAGAATTGCTGGTGGCTAATGCTACTAAACCACAAATGAATATGGCAAAGAAATGTAGAGGTCCATATAACCACAATGAGAGAAATAACCATGGTACAAGTCCTGGGAAGAGTCAGCCCCTGGAGCTTCCATGTCCATAGCCCCATAAGATACTAGAGGTTTCATAACTTGGAGCATACTAGGGCACAATGCACATAGCAAGAGGAGTCCATGCAATGTTGGGCATTCTGCAGGCTTTCTCACTTTGCCCAGGAAGCCTGTACTGTACACCCTCTTTCTGGTGGGGTAAAACTGTGGGGAAGAAGGGGTCTATCCAAATGAGTAAAACAAACTCTCAACCCTCAGGCAATGTTGGTATTGCTATGCCAGATTATGATGATTTGTGTGATGTTGAGTGTGATGATCAGTTTGGTTACACATCTAAAAATAAGAAGCTTATCAATACCGGGAGGCAGAGTCCTGAACCTGAGCTGCTATGTGATTAAGGGTAGGATTTTTCTCTATTTCTGGTCTTACCTGGAGTGAACTTTGATAAACCAACCTCTAGTGCTGCCCTTCCTGATCTGGATGTGTCTGCCAAAGTATTTGACACTGTTCAGATGTAGGACGTTACTTTGGCGTAGGCAAGACAGCAGATAATGTTTGCATCCAAATGTAAATGAGAGGTGGCCTTATTTTGCAACCATTTTAGCCAGCAGTTACCTAATTTATCAGGTTACTGAGATTTAGGAAAACATTGTTGAGAATTTGTTGGTACCATAGCCATATAGATGAAAAGTCCTCAACCTGGTCCATAATAATGTTTTGTGGGGACACCCAGGAACTGAAAAAAACTGAAGCGTGTGTCACTGACCAGTTCTATTGGCCAGGTTGAAAGCCAAACTAAAGAAATATTGTACATCTTGTACATGTTGCTTATAATTTCACACATTTCTTTAACCTGAGTTTCATTTGCTGAATGAAGTCACTAAATGACACTACCAGAAGAGAGAGACTCTTCAAAATTAGCCCACGCTAACAAGGTAGACTGCTGACGTGCAGATTTTTTATGTGACATGAGAGATTCAAGAGCTTTTTTCCAAAGTCTTTTCAGCATATACTGAATCCATATTAGATCTCTTCTAATTCAATTTAGAATTTCTGCAGGTGAAACAAAATGCTGAAATTACCTGCACTGGATGTAGAATTTCTGAGGGTGAAACAAAATGCTGAATTTATCTGCACTAAATACTCCAACTAGCTGTGCTTTTCAAACCATTGGTACATAAAATAATACCTTTTTAGAGCTATAATCTTCTGGTAGCTGTTCTGGAAGCTTTGTATGACTTGGACCCTTGAGCCTGTCTCCCAGGTCAAGCAAAAGACAGCATGAAGCAGAGAACATCGTTCTAGATCCACTTGTAGTGGTGAGTCTTCAATAGTGATGGTTCAGTTCGCAGTCAACCATTGAAACCCAATGAAAGTTCGACTGCAAACTACAAACTTAATGCAAGTCTATGGGTTTCAAATTTTATAAATTCAAATGTGCCCATTTTGAAGGTTTATATGCACGTTATTGGCCATAAAAGGGGTATGGGAACTTGGGTGCTGCTCTGAGGGACATGATTCAGTGACATTTTTTTTTTAAGTACCATTGTAAAGGGGCATTTTTCATTGCTTAAAGTAAAGAAAAAAAATTCCTTTAAATATCATGCCTGTTGGGTCTACTACCTGCAAAGTTGCACATCGGTACAATGTATAGAACCTGCTGCAGCAAGGCTGACATTTTTTTTTTTTAATTATATTTTAAGAGGAACCCCACCCCAAAATAATTGGGGGAAAAATTGTGGGTCCCTCCTAAATCCCTATTACACCCTTGATCCGAGCACAGAAAAGGGGGGGACTAGCAAGTGCCCCCCCATCCTGAACCATACCAAGCCACATGCCCTCAACATGGGGGGGTGCTTTGGGGTTGGCGAACTCCCCATGCTGGGATGTGGTTGTGGCGATCTGCTGGGGGTGACTTATCGGAATCTGGAAGCCCCGTTTAACAAGGGGACCCTCAGACCCCGGCCCCTTCTTGTGAATGAGTGTGGGCAAGGGTGGACTGACCATTTGGAAACTCGGGCACTGCCCGAGGGCCCGGGGTCAGTAGGGGGCCCCATGAGATGCCCCTGGTACCTTTTTCATAGGCTTTTTTGAGTTTGGGAAGGACACAGGTTCCCCATGATCACCTATTGCCCGGGGGCCCCATGAGTTGTCAGTCCACCCCTGAGTATGGGATACATAGTATGGGCAATGAGTATGGGCAAGGGTACTATACCCTTACCCATTCACCAAAAAAATTTAAAATGTGAATAAAAACACAACAGTTTTTGACAAGTCTTTATTAAAAAAAATAAGAAGATAAAAGAGCCAAAAACATAGTTCCATTGTTGTAAACCATTATCAACCACAGCTTCCAGCATTGTCATGATGCCTGTCAGAGATCCGAGTATGTGACGGGAAATGTTTGGGAACACAGGCGTAGTCAAGGCTGGAGAGGTGGAATGGTCAGGACTGGCCTTATGGTTCTGTTAACAACCGCCTGGTGGTACCTCTAGCAGTCCACAGGATAGAATTCCCCAGAGCGCAGAGTCTAAGTCCCAGTCTGCTTGTTCACCAGGGCCCCTGATGGTGGGGATGGACTTGGAGCAGACAGGAACCAGGTCGCGGCCCCTGAGTACACCTGCCTGTGGTAGAGGAATCTGCCAGAGGTATATGCAGGTAGAGCCTGACGTGAAGAGGCAGAAGGTGTGAGCAGGGATGGCTGGATCCGTGCAGGATGGATGGATGGATGGAGTATTGAGCGTGGTCAAATGGGCCGGGTCGGTAACAGTGGGGTCAGCGTGGTACTAGGCAGCAGGCAGAAGAGTAGTCGGGTCACTCGCCGTGGTCGGTAACAGGAGTTCGCACCAGATTAGGGATGTCCAGGAAAGTAGTCAAATGAGCCAGGGATCAGAGCAGAAGAAGTCAGCAGAGGTCAGGATCAGGCAGGGTCGGCAACAAATCAGATAGGCAGATGAACAGGAACACAGGATACAAGGTACAGGGGCTCATGGGAAACAATACACCAAGGCACTGACTGCAGGCCTGGTCCTGCTTTAATACACCTCCTGCAATCAACCTCAGGTGATGGCCTGATTGCAGGAGTGAGACACTGGCTGCTGAGAGCACCCGCTGGCCAGCACTGGTACTGCAGCCCACAGGGCAGGTAAGCCCCAGCACTACTAGAGATAAGACCATTCCTGACAGTACCCCCCCCCCCCCCCCTTAAAGGAGCGGCCTCAGGATGCTCCAAACAGTCCGTAATGGCCCAAATGTTCCACCGCCTGGGTCCGGTAACTGGCTGGACATCCCACTGCCAGAATCAAGCGATTGGCTTGGTCTCCTGCTGATAGGCCTATCTTTTTGCAGGAGACCGCAGGAAGGCAGGTTGCTGGACACAGGATCTCCAGAAGCAGGCTGGGCATTAGGAGCCGGCACATCAGGCTGGGCAGTGGACAGAGGCACATCGGGCTTGGCAGCAGGCAGAGGCACATCGGGCTGGGCAGCAGGCAGAGGCACATCGGGCTGGGCAGCAGGCAGAGGTACATCGGGTTGGGCAGCGAGCAGAGGCACATCAGGCTGGGCAGCGAGCAGAGGCACATCAGGCGGAGCAGCAAGCACCGAGCCATCAGGCGAGGCAGCGGGCACCGGGCCATCAGGCGGGCACCGAGTCGCCTGGCACGACAGCGGGCACCGAGTCGCCTGGCACGACAGCGGGCACCGAGTCGCCTGGCTCGACAGCGGGCACCGAGTCACCTGGCACGCCAGCGGGCACCGAGTCGCCTGGCTCGACAGCGGGCACCGAGTCGCCTGGCAGAACAGCGGGCACCGAGTCGCCTGGCAGAACAGCGGGCACCGAGTCGCCAGGCTCGACAGCGGCATCGGGGCGCCAGGCTGAACCACGGGCAACGGGACACCAGGCTGGACCACGGGCAACGGGACGCCAGGCTGGACCACGGCACCGGGACGCCAGGCTCAACCATGGGCAACGGGACGCCAGGCTGAACCACGGGCAATGGGATGCCAGGCTGGACCACGGGCAACGGGACGCCAGGCTGGACCACGGGCAACGGGACGCCAGGCTGGACTACAGAAACCGGGACATCAGGCTTGATCGGGTCATCAGGCTGGGTCGGGTCATCAGGCTGGGTCGGGTCATCAGGCTGGATCAGGTCGTTAAGCTGGGTAGCAGGCACCAGATCATCAGGCTGGATCGGGTCATTAAGCTGGGTAGCGGGCACCAGATCATCAGGCTGGATCGGGTCGTTAAGCTGGGTAGCGGGCACCAGATCATCAGGCTGGATCGGGTCGTTAAGCTGGGTAGGATCATCAGGCTGGGTAGGATCATCAGGCTGGGTAGGATCATCAGGCTGAGTAGAATCATCAGGCTGGGTAGCGTACACTGGGTCATCAGGCATCAGGGCATCAGGCTGAACAGCGGGCACCAGGCTGGACAATGGAAGGTGGGTTCTCAGACAGCAGGCTGACTGGTTTGGATACTGGCAGGATGGTACTGGTTGGAAAGAATTTTCGCTTCTTCTTGGGTTTAGTTACTGGAGCACTGCAAGTAAATGCAGGGCTGTAAACGGAGGGAGCAGCTTCTACAGAGGACTTCTTTACAGGGTTAAAGGCAGAATAGGTGCAGTGAGTGGGAACAGGAGACTGACATGTGGTTGATAGTAGGGTATACTGGGCTGTAACTGGGGGTGCTGTGGGAAATGGAGAAAGAGAGCTTTGAGCAGAGGAATGATTAGAAGCAGGACTGGATTGTTGCAAGCTGACTGAGGCTGGGTATAACAAATCTGACCATGTCTGTAGAACTTTTTGAACAAAGCTCAGCTTACACATAGCCTGTCTGACCAAAGACTGCACTGCGTTTATACAATCCACTAGCACATGTTGTGAACATGCTGAATATTGCTCCAAGAAGTAATCCGGATCATCCTCCAACAACCATTCCAGTGGTTCTACTTGATCCGTACTGAATGGTGGAAAAAAGTAATTCCTGCTTTCAGGGGTACTAGATGAAGGCAACTCAGCACAAGCCTGGATCAATGGTTGCACCTCAGAGAACTCCGTGCCCTGATCCACTAGGAAATGAGCGACCCGTATGCACTCTAGCAGCTGATCCCTGGCATACTTCTTCAGAGTCTGATAGGCATATTCTCTGTCATCTAAGACTAGCAGATACAAGTACACAACCTCCTCAGGATGCATCCTTCACAACAACAAGCCAAGATGGCTTCCCTGTGCAGCCACTTCTGGTCAGGATTGGCCTTGGTGTTATGTCAGAGATCCGAGTATGACCAGAAATGTGTGGGAACACAGGCGTAGTCAGGGCTGGAGAGGTGGAATGGTCAGGACTGGCCTTATGGTTCTGTTAACAACCGCCTGGTGGTACCTCTAGCAGTCCACAGGATAGGATTCCCCAGAGCGCAGAGTCTAAGTCCCAGTCTGCTTGTTCACCAGGGCCCCTGATGGTGGGGATGGACTTGGAGCAGATAGGAACCAGGTCGCGGCCCCTGAGTACACCTGCCTGTGGTAGAGGAATCCGCCAGAGGTAAATGCAGGTAGAGAGCCTGACGTGAAGAGGCAGAAGATGTGACCAGGGATGGCTGGATCCGTGCAGGATGGATGGATGGATGGAGTACTGAGCGTGGTCAAACGGGCCGGGTCGGTAACAGTGGGGTCAGCGTGGTACTAGGCAGCAGGCAGAAGAGTAGTCGGGTCACTCGCCGGGGTCTGTAACAGGAGTTCGCACCAGATTAGGGATGTCCAGGAGAGTAGTCAAACGAGCCAGGGATCAGAGCAGGAGAAGTCAGCAGAGGTCAGGATCAGGCAGGGTTGGCAACAAATCAGATAGGCAGATGAATAGGAACACAGGATACAAGGTACAGGGGCTCATGGGAAACAATACACCAAGGCACTGACTGCAGGCCTGGTCCTGCTTTAATACACCTCCTGCAATCAGCCTCAGGTGATGGCCTGATTGCAGGAGTGAGACACTGGCTGCTGAGAGCACCCGCTGGCCAGCACTGGTACTGCAGCCCACAAGGCAGGTAAGCCCCAGCACTATCAGAGATAAGACCATTCCTGACAATGACAACAACTCGCAGAAAGTAAAAAACTCGATGCCCGTCAACTTGTCCGCATCCGCTGAGCACCCGCCGCTATCTGATATTTGCTGGTGAGATGTAAAAAATTGGGCGGAGCTAGCAGTAAGGTCTTTGCTAGCTCCACCCAATTGTGCTGTGATTGGCCAAAGCATTGCACCTGGCCTATGGTAAGGTGCATTGCTCTGGCCAATCACAATGCACTGACAGAGCGCAGTGCATTGTAGGACGTGGTGGGCAAAAAGCCCACCGAACACCCTTACCATTCGCCAAACACACGAACGGCCGATGTTCGAGTCTAACATAAGTCTGACTTGAACATCAAGGATGTCATTAGTCTTCAACATGGGTCAAGAGTGGGGACTCATTCTCTTCAAGGACTATAGCAGAAATTTCAATTGGTTCATATGTACATCTTGCAAGTGAAGGTTGATTTGGAAAGATTATTATATTCTGGGGGGAAAAAAATGGAACTTGGTTCACCACATTTGGAACTTTGACATACAGAATTATTTAAGAGCAATTTGACTACACAGCGAATAAAAAATTACATTCATTGCAGCTTCCATGTTTTGTCATCTTTTAGTGACTACTGCACCTGGAGTTGAAGACTGTTACAATGAAAAGCATACAACAGAGGTACTGAATTAACACTCATGGAGGTCCAACCAGTAAAAGTTTTTTCCAGCAGAGGTCCAAACCACATTTTTTTTCAGCCCTCTCCTACTGTATATCACAATCCCTATACTTCAGTGTCCTCAGTCCCCCCCTTCCCCACACCCTATATGTAACAGTTCTCAACTTCACATCAGTTTCACCTTCACAGTAATGTTCTCAGGACCCTTGCACATCAACCCCCACCCACCCCTTTACAGTACACCCCCATTATTTTTGGCAGTCCTCAACCCCCCTCCAAGTCATCACCCCCGCCCCACACTACTGTGCTCTACCCCCGTCACATCTCTCCCTGTCATGTTTCACATGATTGTCCTATTGACTGTCATATGCCTTTAAGTGTTCTCTGTATTTTGTTTCTGCTCCTCCCTTTCCTTTGGTTTAGTTAATGATGTATAGATAGCCCACCCCTTTTCCCAGTAATGCATTTCTGCAAGCCTTACGTCTCATGAATTAGGTCACATTATGATCTTTTGACCTATCAGATGTTCATTGTTGTAAGATTCTCTCAATTTATAGAATAAACTTCACATATAAGATATAATCCGATTGAGTCACTGACTGTGGTATTCAAGTGAGATTGGTGTTATCGCTATCTCATCACAACTGTAAGTTACAGAGATCACACTTTTAATGCTTAGATTGGAGAGACAGAACTGTCAAAAGATCATTCAAAAGATCAGTGAAATGTTTTCTTAGAATCCTTGCTGGCTTTGGATACACATTGAGATGTTATATGGACAGTTACAGAGAGTGCAGCCATCTCTACACAATCCTGTACATGTCTGCAAGTATATCTCAGCATAACACTCATCAGTGTCAGGACAAATTATTGATGTGAATATCTTAGAACTGCAAGTTTATACACTGCATCTGTATGCATTAGCATATGACTTGTCTGTAAATCTTGAAAGAAAGTGAAAGAAAACTTTTCTGCAATCATTGCCTAGGAAACCTGAGCTCATCCACAGGAAAATTGATACATTTCTTTGTAAACTTTCTATCAACCCCTTTCCTTGTTTCAGGAAAGTAATATACAGTCTGGGGAAACTAATACACAACCACAATCAGAGCTTAATGCTGACAAGGATGAATTGCTGTCTAATATTAATGACTTATGGTCTAATACTGTTAAATGCATGTCTGCTCTCTCCCAACAATCTCATGAGCCAACACAACTAGAGGGCGCTATCCAGCAATTGATTGTTGCATATGAGAATTATCAAAGACTGCATGTTAAATATAATGCTCTCTTAAAGCGGTACAACACTCAAAGGTCATTGGAAGAATTAATGAGTTTTGAGGGGCTCAATCTTGAAAGACAATTTAGTAGTGCAAACAAAGACAAAGGCAGAAGTGAGAAAAACACAACTCCATGAATCCAGATCTTATTGCTGTGCAGCTTCTAGACCAGTGGTTCTTAACCTTGTTGGAGGTACTGAACCCCACCAGTTTCATATGCGCATTCACCGAACCCTTCTTAATTGGAAAAATAAAATATGATTTTTAAAATTCAAAACATAGGTATATATTTATACATAGGTGCACAAAATGAACAAAACCATTAAAGAACAAAGAACAAAACCATTAAAACATGATTTTCACACAAAAACAAAAACATAATAATGAATATTTACTGCACGAATCATATGAGTCGGGTGTGGGTCTTCTCCTCTGCCGAACCCGCGAGACTGACTCACTGAACCCCTGGGGTTCGATCGAACCCAGGTTAAAGAACCACTGTTTTATAGTAATTCATCCCCCATAGTAATTCATCCCCCATATAGTAATTCATCCCCATAGTAATTCATCCCCCCTATAGTAATTCATCCCCCATATAGTAATTCATCCCCCATAGTAATTCATCCCCCATATAGTAATTCATCCCCCATAGTAATTCATCCCCCATATAGTAATTCATCCCCCATAGTAATTCATCCCCCCTATAGTAATTCATCCCCCCATATAGTAATTCATCCCCCATAGTAATTCATCCCCCATATAGTAATTCATCCCCCATAGTAATTCATCCCCCATATAGTAATTCATCCCCCATAGTAATTCATCCCTCATAGTAATCATCATCCCCATAGTAATTCATCCCCCATATAGTAATTCATCCCCCATAGTAATTCATCCCCCATAGTAATTCATCCCCCATATAGTAATTCATCCCCCATATAGTAATTCATCCCCCATAGTAATACATCCCCCATATAGTAATTCATCCCCCATAGTAATTCATCCCCCATAGTAATTCATCCCCCATAGTAATTCATCCCCCATAGTAATTCATCCCCCATAGTAATTCATCCCCCATATAGTAATTCATCCCCCATAGTAATTCATCCCCCATATAGTAATTCATCCCCCATATAGTAATTCATCCCCCATAGTAATTCATCCCCCATAGTAATTCATCCCCCATATAGTAATTCATCCCCCATATAGTAATTCATCCCCCTATAGTAATTCATCCCCCATATTAATTCATCCCTTATATAGTAGTAGTAAGTAAGTAGCAAGTAGTAAGCCAAGTCCCCCCTGTGTCAATTCACTTACCTTTGCTCCGCGCGTTCCTCTCGCCGTATTCCCGCGCCGTTCCGGTCTTCAGGGCGGACTGTGAGAGGAGCCTAGCTCCTCTCACGTTCGTCATGCTGCCCCGCCTACACACATCCTGACAGCCAATCACTGGCTATCAGGATGTGAGTGGCAGCGAGACTGGCCAATCATTGCATTTGAGCGCGCTGCCCTGGCTGTTTTTTTTTTTGGATCACGCTGCAGAGTCCCTGCCGCCCGAGAGGAGGGAGGGGAGCGGGCGCCCGGCACACAAGAGCCGCATTAAAGCGTGTAAAGAGCCGCATGTGGCTCGCGAGCCGCGGCTTGCCGACCACTGGGCTAAGCGATGTTGCGTGTGACCACCTGCAGCCAATGATGGACAAGCGGGGCATGTCATCATGAATCATATGAGTCGGGTGTGGGTCTTCACCTCCGACGAACCCGCGAGACTGACTCACCAAACCCCTGGGGTTCGATCGAACCCAGGTTAAGAACCACTGTTCTAGACGCTCCTCAAGATCTTCCAAATCCCTACAATCAAGGTCTTCTACACTCAGTCAACAACTAATAAAAGCTTGTGCTGATGCTGAAGCTTCTAAAATTCAGGCAGCTTTCGCTCAAAATAAAGCAGAAATAGCTCAGGCCGCTAAGAACACAGGCTCACATATAAGAAAACAGAAATGGAGGCTCAGGCCGCACATAAGAAAGCAGAAATGGAGGCTCAGGCCGCACATAAGAAAGCAGAAATGGAGGCTCAGGCACATAAGAAAGCAGGCTGCACATCAGAAAGCAGAAAAGAAGCTGCACATCAGAAAGCAGAGAAAGAAGCACATGCCAAAAGGCAGAAATTAAAGTTTTGGAAAACCAATGTAAGCATGCCACAGCCATGGCTAGGTTAAGGGTCTTAGAACAAGCCGCTAGTGAAAATGAAAGAGACAACAGTTCCAGACACTCAGTTGTATCTTATGTCTCAAATTCTTCACACACCTCTCCAGAACGTCAACTCCCTGTCACAGCAGCCAAAGTACTCAATCAATGTTTCTTCTCTGCACCTACTGTACCTCAAGACGATTTGTCCTTATATCCTCCAATACATCAGACTGCAGCATCTCAGCTAGCCACAGGCACTGGTGTGTATTTAATAGACCGTCCATCATACTTTGGCACCAACAGAGTACCTCCTAGCAAATGCACTACTCTACAAACTAACATGCCATTGGATTTTAAGCCAGCTCCGGCATTAAATGACTTAGCAGCAACATATGTTCCCACGTCACTCCACCAACCGTCACAACCAACTCTGTTCCACCTGCAGTCATGTACCCAAAATATGAAAACACGGACATGTCACAATTTGCTAAATACATGCTCTGCAGAGAGCTTGTTAAGACAGGCCTCACCAAGTTTGATAAGCCTGAAAATTACAGAGGCTGGAAATCCACTTTTAAGGCCACAATGAGTGACCTAAACATCAATGCCACAGAGGAATTAGATCTGCTCATCAGATGGCTAGGTCCCCAGTCCACTGAGCGCATCAAGAGGCTCAAAGCAGTTCATACTGACAACCCTGCTGCAGGCCTTAATGCTGCTTGGGGCAGACTAGAATATACCTTTGGCAGCCCAGAGGTCATTGAAGATGCTTTATTCAAAAGGTTGCAAAGCTTTCCAAGGATTTCTGCTAGCAACAATCTAAAGTTTCAAGAACTCAGAAATGTTCTATTAGAGCTTCAACTTGCTAAGGCTGACATCAATGTACCTGGTCTCAGTTA